GAACCGAGACAACGACCTCTCGAACCCGATCCGTACGATTAAACGATTCAATTTCGAATAAAACGAACAAAAGCTGTCCGACGGGATTCGGGTAGTGGGCTGCTGCTGCTGTTGCTTGTTACTGGTTTCTGCCGAGAACTTCGGTCGTATTATTTGTTTGAATTGGAAAGCGCCGATGAATCATCGTGTTATTATGACGTTCGAAAATCGATTCCGAGCGAAGGTCGGTCGAAAAAAAAAAATAATCATTCCTGAGGACTCTTATCTAAAAAGTATGTTCTATGAAAACGTCGGTGCAGATTTATTACCATCGAGTGCATACAGAACGTTTTGAACAATTCAAAAAACATCTTCGTGCACCGACCTATCGAATCGGTAAGATGTGTACCTACGAGCTCAAGCTGACAACAGTGATTAATATCAATAATGATAAACAACCTACTTATATATTGGAAATAAACACAGTTATACAGTTTGTGTCAATTACGTTCGATTTACGCGAGACAATAACTCTATGGTTTATGTTGCGCTTTTAATTTTCGATTCAGCAGGATGATTGTTATTTAATACTAGTATAGCAATATTTTGGTAACGTCGTAATTGATTAACGAGTTAAGATATGTTTTTCAAATAAAAATAATGGACAAAGTCCCGTGAAAGTTTTATAAAACGAATTTACGATTAATAGTTATGTAAAAACAAAGTGTTACAGTACTTAAACATTAAAGTAGACCATTTCAAGCGCGAATAGTTTCTAATAAATTATAATACAATAGAATTTTACTTAATTAAACATACTTGATTGATAACATAAAATATACTTTAATAATCAAGAAAAAATAATCATCAACGCCATGTATGTATATATGAAAAAAGGTGTTTAAATTAGTTTTTTATAAATTGTTTAGATTATCTTAAAAGTAATAAAACAGATTTATTATAGTAGATGTTTGGACACGTATACATAATCTAATTTATAAAAGTACTATGTTCTTATTAAAAATCATAAAACTTTATTGCACTTGTCTACTATTTTATATTAACAACAAAAATTATAATCTCAAAAATAATTTCACCTTACATAAAAACTGGTTAAGTATATTACATGTAAATACTAAAGTAAAGATTATAAATATATTTCAGCTAATAATATGCACGCTCATCAATAACATGTACATCTACACGGTTATCACCGAATTTATACATTTTAAATATTGCTAAATAAAATTAATAAGCAAGATGATATCGGTATATTAACTGTAGAACGTAAAAACATTTACACCTACGTGAAGTCTTGTGGAAAATTGAAATAGTTAATACAATTTAAGAAATTTGAAAGAATAATTTTTGTTTTTTGAAGTAGTGCTTTCTAAAATAGTAATTAAAAATTGTGTACATTATACTTCAACTATATCAATACGAAAATGAAGTAAATATTCGTTTGTTTATAGTTTTATACATTATACAGAAAGCTATCCAATAAAAAATTAAATAATGACAAGATTTCTTTTTATTTCAATGCTTATCTGTACTTCACACAGTATCGTTTTATAAATATGATAGTTGATCACAATAAACTAGTGGAAAATAAGTTATCGGTACAATATCGACTTACGCTCTAAGTTAACTTAGGTTATAACTAATGTAGGTTACTTTTTCAAACGAAACATCGGATTTATGTTTGATGTTGAGAATATATTTTATTATAATTCAGCACTCAGTGTTTTTTTGAGCATTGTAATATAACAATGCAATCATCATTACGTTTAGCTTTACTACATAGGTACCTAATACGAAATTCAGTTCGTTTCGCATAACGATAAATGATAATTAAATTGCTCGTAACGATTTTCGTTTTCAATAGGTAATAATTCTTTTGAAAAGCGGTCGCCGTATTAGTTGTTTACGTTTATAGATAATTAAAATAATAATAATAATAATGACATAGCAATAGTGTATTATGAAAAAATTTTTAACGCGTAAAATATTATCGAATCAATTAAAAATAAGTTGATAATTATGGGGGACTGAATACAAATTTTCTGAGTCGAACTCTGTACCAAAACTCGAGAGATGCCCTTTGAGTTGACCCGATCAAAAAAAAAAAAAATGAAATAAATAACAACTTGGCAATAAAATATCAAGGGAAAGAGCACACACATCCAACAATCGATTTCTGAAATGTGTTAATATAGCAATTAATTGAATATATTTTTACATAAGAAATTATTTATAAAAAAAAAAAAAAAAGAAAAACAATTGATGGAAAAGTTGCCAAAACTCAAGCAGTCTTAGTCATCTCAACTTCGCGTAATCTCGACAGCTGTTGTCACACGACGTTTTTATAACATGTCATAAATAATTTCGAAAAAAACTAAAGCAATGTTTTTAAACGAACATAGGTAGGTACTGTGATTTACGTAATCACGAACAAACACGAGCGTGTAATAATATTTGTTATAAAACGAGCGAAACAATGTTATGACGCATTGTTTGATCGTGATTAATCGTGGGACAAGTCTGCGGTATATACCTGTCTATATATGTGTACGTAAGCTGCACTATGAGCTCAATCTTTAAGAGCAAAGACTCGAAAGTTACACACTCCCAACAGATAATAACGACACGGTTTATAAATAGCTGTACTGCAAAATGGCACATAAATCAAACAGTTTCCGCGTGTATTGAGGGGGGCACCACCTACGCACCGAGTATTGTTGCCGAAGAAATATTGGACCATTTCGAACCATTCGACCTCGTTCGCGAACAATAAGACAACGGGTAGTCGTAATACTATGAGTAGTAGTAATACTTTAGTAATTGTACACACATAGTAAATGGTATTTTGCAGTGACGTGTGATTGAGGAAAAACATTGGTAAGTGCAAGAATAAGGGCAAAACTTCATTGAATTGTAACGTCCTCTCGCAGCAAGGTAACCTTATACCTAGTAGACTTGGTAAACTGAATCAAAATGAAATAGATTTTCATGATTCTATTTTTTCCATACACATCTTGTTCGTAGGGTCACAACAGCTACCCTAAGCTATGCTCTACGCATTATACGAGTATACTGTCACAATTCACGTTTCATATGATTAGTATGGATTCGAAAATAAAAATATTTGTATATTTGTAGCGTGCATGTTTGAGGATTGTTTTCCTAGTAAGACAACCAAAGGGGGGGGGTGGAAGGAGTGGATGATTCCCTCGTTAAGGCCCTTCGCGATCACCGACAGAATCGTGTTGTAGATGTTAAATAACAATCGCGGTACAAGTAGTCCGTATTATACGTATACATATTAGTGTATATAAGTAGCAGCAACAAACATTTAACATGTACACGACGCGTTGGCTTGCGTCCGTAAAAACACCGCTGGCCAGAGAGTGTCACACATGTCGACCTTCGGAAACGTGCCCGAATTACAGTGTAATTACTGTAAACGGTTGGGAAGAAGAACGCGTTCGAACACGGCGCGGGCAGTGACGACGGATGAGACACGTAGTAGTTAGTAGTTACGTAGCTTCGCTGTAGGTGCACACGACGTATTGGAGTTACGTAATTTCGGTGGAGTGCGACGTTCGTGGAAGGGAAAAAAAAACCGAAATGCCTGCGCCGAAAAACACAGCACAACACGACGACGACAACGATATTTTTAATAATATAATATTTTTATATATATATATATATATAATAATAATAAAATAATGTATTTAAAACGCGAGAGATCTCTTGTTGTCAATGTTGTTCGGGTGGCCTCCGTCGAAAATGTCACGGTCAAGAGTGCGTACGTACGTGTAAGCGTGTGTGTGTAGGCGCCCAGGGAAAAATTCGTTTTTTATTAAACTTGTCCTCTTCACCCCCTCCCATTCGAAAAAAAACACTCGCACAAATTAATAGTTACGCCGAGATACAATATATATTTATCACCCGTTGAGCTGATCTATTTTCACGACGATATTAGTCGTCGGATGTACCAGAACGCCTAGGACAGAGTACGACAATATATTACATCATCTGCTGCAAAAACACGTTTCGAGATATTAGATGAATTGTATTGTTACAAGTAACTGTAAGACCAGGCGAAGTAGCGAATTGTCGAATCACCGCAATGATGACTTTATTAAAATGTACTCACCAATGTCGGTCCGACCGGGAAACGACGGAGGCCCTTGAATATTTTTCAATGTTGCAGAAATTTGAGGGTCAAAAGAGGAAAATTAGAATAATATTCAAATATTGGAATACTGAAAATAATGAAAATAAAATTCCTTGTTATACTTTTTTTTCAAGTTGTAAGGTATTCCGTGAAACATAATAAGAAGGAGGTTATTATTTTTTCCCATGTTAAAGTTATGTTTGTGTGTATGGGGGATTTGTTAGAAATCACTGTGCTGAGGTATCAACCATGAGCCATCATACGGCACTGGTGCGTATAGATCGACGAGAATCACGGTCGATTGTCACCAATCGAGAAAAATCAGCCGAACCGGCGGTGATATGCTAAGTCCAATACAATTATTATAATTAACGCTGGGTCATCGATCAACGACGAGTCGCAAGTTTTGTTGTTGTCGCGAGCCGTAGGTAGGTAGCGCCGGTGGTAGACCGACGCAATTATCGGCGGAGTCATTGACAAAAAAAAAAAAGAAAGAAAATAATGTTATAACGGAGCACATAGACAATAGAAATGTCATACGAGTATTACATTTACACACACATACACACACATCGGTCTCCCGCAACACAACATAACACTTAAAAATGAACGAAATAAACGAAGGCGCGCGCCACCGGACCCGAACATAGGTGACAATCGGGGAACAAGTTCCTTACCGGGTTAGTCTTACCATTATGATTAGGCGGTTATACTACTATTATTATTATTATTTTTTATATAGGTGTAGTGTTAGAGGCGACGTATTAACGTCGTATACAAAACACATTTATGTATTTATTATATTGTTATCCCAAACGCACGGATACGTGCTCGCACTTACCCATCAAACAGTATAACGTCTGGGTTGACATCATCGACGGCGCGAAAACTCGTAAATGATACGCCCCAAACACCTGAAAATACAAAACAATTATTTTTCTCTCGTCATGAACGTTGATACACATTCTCGCATACATACGTAGTATATCAAAATGGTTTGAACACGTGGAAAAAAAAAATTCAAAAAAAAAAAATAAAAACAATTGGACTCTAAAACGAGTTGGGGGTGAAAACCAATAACGAATTCAAAAGGTCTCGCAGGCAAATTCAACGTAATAATAAAAATGATAGGCATCGTTTTCCAACCGAATCGAAGTGTGCACCAAGAGAGACCGCGGAGAAGGAAAGACGGTGTAGAGAACGGCGAGAGGAAGACGGAGAACACTAATAGGACGTGGAAAAAACGAAATGAAAAAAAAATTACTTTGATCGACTTTTACTCACCGGCTGGCCCGGCGATAACGCATTTGATTCGTACCCGTCGGCGGCGGAGGCGGAGGCGGCGGAGGCAGAAGCCGGGGCCGTTCCGCTAGTCCTTCGGTCGCGTAACTTATACTGCTATTATCATCACTGTTAGAGCCACTGGTTATCATTAAACATAACCTAGAAAACGGTACGGATATGTACCGGAGTAGCGGTCGGCGGCGCGGGAAACGAGAGTGGCGCGAAAGCGGCGGCCGGTGTTGTTGAAATATTATTATTATTATTATTACAATCGTTGTTGTTTATGTTGACCGTTGGGCGGAAAACACGGACGGTCCTTACCGCCACGAGGATAAACGATACGAATCCGATCACGATCCGTTATTAGACCGCAGCGCGCGCGTTCGGGTACGTCGCGCACTCGGTACGGGTGTATTTCCCGTCCGTCGCAATTTCTCACTCGGTCTTCTCGAAAACCGCCGCCGACGGCAATATTATATTGTTCGTAACGATTATCGGTGTCTGCGCACGGGACGTCCGTGGACGTTCGGGTGTCGCGGGCGTCCGGATAAGACGCGAAATGCACCGCGCGAAGACGACGGAAACGTTTGCGCGCTGCAACGAACGCGACACGACGACGACCGGACGACGACTGTTACGGATACCACTACGGTACCGTTGCGGTCGCGCGGACTGCGGCGGCCGACGGCGGCAACAGCGGCGACGACGGCGCGGCGGCGGCCGGCAACAAGTTGTTGTTGCACGCGCACGCGCGCGCGTACACATACGTACACACGCGTACACATGCGCGCACGAGTGGCGAACGAACGCGCACGCGCACAAACCTACACACGGGCGCGCGCGCACGGATACTTCCCGAGAGTGATACGATTCCTATTAATAGAACCGTGGCCTCGATTGTTACCGCCACCGACGAGTGCATCCAGTTCACGATAACGCGACGACGACGGGTAAACAACGAGATCTGCACGCCATCTGTTGGCCGTGTCCGTTGCCCGACGGGCGGTCTCTTCTTCGGCCGCGGGGGTGTGCACGGGATTGAACCGGTGTGCGCGCGCGCGTGTGTGTGCGTGTCGGTACCGTGTACAGGAGGGGCTGACGTTCGTTACCGGACGCAAAATCGGGAACTTATGTCTTGGCTGCGTACTGCTTGCGTCCCCCGAAAAGGTTTATTTTGCAGGTAGTAAACTCAACAGGTAACTTGCGTCCCGTCATGGGGACGCGACTCATAACCATGTTATTCTTCTTACCTGCTATTACAGTCATGACCGAGATGCGTCCATAAATATTATGCGTTACAATAATCATGGATGTGTAAATTGTGTTTATGGTATAATATCTGTGACTATCGATAAATTAATATTATCAGCTATTATAGAGTTTTAGTGTGATCAAATTAATTACGTACCGTAACATTATTCGGTTGTCGCCAAACAATTTCCGAGCCGTATTTATAAAACTGAATGCTTTGAAAAACTTTAAATGTAATTAATTACTTGTAATACTCATTTTATACTATGTTTTTGACTTATTTGTGTTGGGACGCAACTTGGCTGTCTCAAAAGGTATTCTTGGACGCAATTAGGCTATGATCTTTTTTGAACCTTTTTTGGTGGGACGCAAATTATCAACTGATAATAATCTCGGACGCAAGTAGTATGCACCGTATGTCTTAACAATCGTGTAACCGATAGTCGTGCCATAGTTTTCATCCGTAGAAAACTTCAGTTCCGTTAAGGTTCTTCCGTCGAAAATATTACGTTTACATTAGCATCCTTCCGTAATAAATATTATTTTGAAATAATTATCATTTATTTTTATATACGGCTCCGTGAGATATATAACGTTTAACAACTTTGCATCCATTCATTTTGGGATATTACCAACATTCACTTTCTTGTCAAAAGTTTTACTCGTAAAATATTATAGTCAAAAATTTGTTGTTATTTTATTTTTATTACATCACTTTATTTACGTTTGGAATCTTGAGATCTATGATTCATAAAACTAACTATGGCATCCAAGTTGATCACCGACGTCGAATTTTTACACTCAGGATTTTTAAGGATGCGTCTTATAACACAAGCGCAATATTTGTAGATTGCTACCATGGTCCTGTGCGTTACAGATTTATTTTACTGTTTAATAGGAACGTTATTAATTCATCAGCTACCGGAGGACTGGGTCGACTCTGAACGGTATACGCCAGGGTTTAAACGTATAATATGCTATGCCTACTATCAAACGTTTATATACTTTCATCATAATTTAGTTTATAAAAACGTGTTCTTAATATCCAGTTTTTTTTTGCAATTCTGTAGGCTTTTTATTATTGGCAGATTGGGAAAAGTAAACATACACATATTATTACTCGTATTCAAGATAGTCAAAAGTTACATATATATATGGCAAAAATAATCAAGTTTTCAAATACAAACTGGACACTTACAACAACTAAATAAAATATCTAAAGTGGAACCAGATTTAAAGTTAATTTTAGTTACATAATGAAAAAAATAGTAAATAAATATTAGTATCAATTAAAACAAAATAATTATTATTCTAAGAATAGGTAGACAAGGATAACTTTTAGTTCTGATTCGGCACCAACAAATTTCAATAGCTAGGCTATTTAATTATTCAATAGCACCTTCTTCCAATTTGTGAAGGCCGTGGAGCCATTTAATGAATAAATTAATTAGACAGTTAGCAACCTTGTGACTCATTGTTTGGTTCAGGAATCCAAGCTCATACCAAGCATTCTGAGCCAAATTCCATTTCGATATGAGGTCTCTTCCTTGACCACACTTAAAGCGATTTAAAACACTCCATTCTTTCCTTGGCAATTGGAAACCCGGTAATCTTCTGTTCCAGCTGAGATACGAGGTCATAATTTAAAGGATATTAGTAGACCATGCTTCTTTCCAGCGATCCATTATACTACAGCAGGGATTATTCATAATCTACCAATTAGGATAACGTGATTTCGGTCTCATACTAGGTAAATTCATGATATCCTCATAAATTGGCAGACCAGGGTACTTTAAGTATTTTTTCCCACTCCTTTCTTAGTGCCTCTACTCTTCTCAGATATGGAGGTGGGATATTGGCCATGACAGGAAACTAAGGAAGGGGACTCACCCTTAAAAGTGAATCATGTCTACCAGTTACTTCAAGTAAATCCCCGTTTTCGCTTTTGCCCAAACCAAATATCTGGGCTTAATCTTAGTAAGGAGATTGAATTGGGCCGCATGTATCAAAAACAAACGTAAATTATTAAACTCCCGCCTACGTTTTCTCAGTTAGGCTAAAAAATGATGATTGTAAACAAAACATTTTTATCGACTTATTTTTTTTTAATATTTACTTGAATACGGACGGAATGAAAATACAACGCGTAAAGCAATACAACACCATATTATATAGGTATGATGTTTTATTGTATGTTCACATAGCTTATAGATATATCCCACGAACGGGATGAATAAAACCAAATCTCCGAACGTTCACACGTCAACTGACAGTCCTGGCGGTACTAGGTCCATACTGGGTATCTTCGGGGGTTTCGGCTTCGGGGTCAATGGCCTCCATCGTACGGTCCCTCGTATCCCATAGTGTCCAGGGCCAGTCTTCATCGGTCGCTCGGGTTACCCGTGACACTTTATACTCCATCATGGACACGCGGTGTTCATGTCTGTAGAACAACCACGGAGTGTTGCGCGGCGTGGCGTTGAAAACCAGGGCGCTCGAATCCCCAGATTTTTGCTGTATCTCCAACCATTTTGAAAAGCATAATTTCATCAGGAACGGGAATTTGGATCCTACGACACACATACATGCCATCGAGTAACAAACGTTTGACAACAAACCAAATAACATCGTAACGCAAAACAAGTCGTAACAATGATACAGCGTGATAGCAATAATATACTCGACGATTCTAGCTCCATGTGATTTAACAACAGTATAGCCTTGGCCGCCAGGTCGACGCTTTTCATTTCCAAAAGGCCCGTCGAAAATTTAGCATCGGGCTGTTTTTGAGGTACTAAAAAAAAACAAAACAATAAAATCACTGTTCATATATGTCACGCGTGAATTCAAAGTGTTTCGATGAACTACTAACGAATCGTTACTGATTGGACCGCGTCTTTGCAACTGAGGGCGTTTATCACTGCCCTGCGAATCTGCGAGCCGTTTATATCCAACGGTGTGTTGAAGAATTGCAAAATCTATTGAGGAGTTTCAATCGATTTTATTATATTAGTATATTACATCAATATGTCGAAGCAGTGATATATTTAGGACTTTTCGTGGGGGGGGAGAAAGTTTCTAATTACTAATATCACTCTATTTATATAATTAATATATTTTTGGTTGTATTTGTAATTCGATCGAGATTTATAACAAAAGGTAAAATAATTGCTCCCGTCATTTATAACGGAATTTCAAACGTCGATTAAAAAATAAAAAGAAGAAGCTAAGGGAAATAATTACGAACCTCTCAGGAAATACACCACTGCATCAACTTAAACGTTATGATACACGTATAAGCTTACCTTCGACGGTGCTATGATTCGACGTTCGTTTACAAACTTTGCTTTGTACGAAAACCGGTTCAGTTTGCTAGTATCGTAGTATTTTTGTGCCGGCGTCCCGTCCGACAATCTGATGACTTTTCCTTGGTCGCGTATATAAGACAAATTGGAATACCTAAAACGTCCAATGGGAATCATACGATGTCGACTGGTATATTGATTATTCAAGTTCTCATGTGGTCGACAATAAGAATGAATACATTAGAAATAAAACTTTGAAATTTCAAAATAAAAAACTTTTAGAAACTATCTTGACTGAATATACTATGTTATTTCGTTCAATATATTTGAGCCCAAAAGAACCGAACACGATAAGTATGGAAATTACACCTGTGGAAGTGGCATAGGACGATGAACGTCTTAAGGCTGCCAATTTTACTTTTTTTTCCTTGGCGTGTGTAGTATTATTGTGAATTCTTGTTTTAGCAGATTGCGAGAATCAGGATTAGCATTTAAATTCAATATTCCATCGCTGAGACTGTTACGATCCGAATATTTAAAAATTGATCGCTTACTTGACTTTCAACTTCAACTTTTGTTGATCCATCGGCAATAAGTGCAGGTGGGCCACGCAGCGTTTGGCGGCCTCGACGTCGTTTAGCTCGACGAGAACCTGTCCTTTTCTAAGTATCTTTACGGCAGTCACGTTGCCGTACAGACAGAACATATTGAATACTTTGTCGCAATTAATTTTGTTTCCCAGTCCGTGTACGAGCAGCGTTTTTCCGGGTCCTGCGCGCCGTGTCTGTGACGACGATGACCGGCGGAACGGCGGTATCTCCGCTGCCCGAATCTGGCTTTCTGTCGATCCGCCGCACTTCGTTCGACCTTTGGTCCCTGTGAACATTGCTAGCGCGGAAAACATTATTATTACTCTTTCCGTAACCGTAGCTTCCTCTTTTGACCGAAGATGGACGTGGTCGTCTGTCTCGAACATTCAACACGTATTCCGTGGTCGAACGGCGTCCGGCGGTTGCTTCCATCTGTCGACCTCCATTGTAAACCGATCGGCGTCTACACTCGGTGCATTGGCGATGTGCAGGCTTCATCAAAATGCGTTGAGTGTCTTCCTGTTGGTTTCTGTCCATCGCGAAAGAGTAGTAAGTAGTGGTCAGTAACGGACGAAAAGAAAAAAGGTTTCAAGACAACCGTTTTGAATTGTGAGCAAGAGTGCAATGAATCTAAAAATCTACGAATGAAATGAGATGAGCAATCGGAGTACACACGTGCGTTTTCATGGTTTCGACGAACCAGATGTTATTTAGCTGTTTAGTAAACGGCCAGTATAAGAAAATTATACGATATTAAAAATTACTATTATAAAAACAAATAACTTTACAATTTTTTAATCATTAAAAAAAAATTATTAAGTTGTAACGTATTATTCGTGTTATTTATTTTTTATTAACGTCTTCAGCGATCCTGATATAGTTCTCATTGACTTATTTAATTGGAAATCGATTTTTGATAAGTGTTTACTGTTGATCTAAATTGGAGCGCAATACTCTGCTGTAGCATACACCAATCCTAGTAAGGCAATCCTAAGAGAATTAGAGTCAGTTAGAGTCAAGGTGATTAAAAATTAAATGAGTTTTCTATATAAACCATAATTACGATGCATACATATATACTAGATAAATAGTACAAATTATAATTCTAGACCATAACATTACTTATTTACACATGTCTAGTTCAACTAAATCAGTGCTTCTCAACGGGGGCAATATCGCCCCCCGGTGGGCAGTGAAGGAGTACCGAGGGGTGGTGAACTCGTTTAGGGCGATTGAGGGGCGGTGAGCTCGTTTTGGGTGATTAGGGAGCGGCGAACTTTTTTTCCGTTCAAAGCAACGTACCAAGATTTATCTGTAATTGTTTTCCGTTTACCGATTTCTAAAATAAATTTGTGATTATGAAATATAAACTACATATATTAGAGGCAGTGCGTTATTATCTAATAACGAAAAAAAGAAATCGATTTGACATCGTCAAAAGAGGAGACTTACGGCTTCATTTCACAAATTTTGAACCAAACGTAAAAAAATGGGCTTTGAATTACCAAGCATTTCACCGATAAATACATTTCAAAACATTTAACATATTTAAACATAAATTTTACATTTTATTTTTATTATATTTAAATTTATATCTATATTATTTATTATTCAATTATAAACATTTCATGTATACTATTTTTATTTTTATTTTAATGAAGTGAAGGGGGGCGTTGAAAAACATTTTGCTTCTTAGGGGGGCGGCAGTTTGAAAAAGGTAGAGAAGTACTGAATTAAATCAACTCGATGAGCCATACAATGGGCATATATAGCATGTAGATATTCAGTATGAATTTTTTTCTGAATACTATATATTAACCTGTCATTACACTGGTACCATCACAATACAACTAAATTACATGCATTTGTTGTAAACTTTTATGTATGTTATATTTATTATAAATACTTATTAATATAATAAACTATAATATAATTATAGTATAATATAATACACTTATGGACTTACTTAAAATAAATTCTTAATTCATCGCACGTCACGTCATTTTTATTTTTTGTAATGGTCGTCCAGTGAATTTTTAACCAAGACAAACAGTTTTATAGAAAATAACTATGCAGGTCCATTTGGCATTAACTAGAACGTAACATAAACATATAATCCCTGCACTTCTCTCCACCGTGCATTAAACAACGATATTCATATTTGCTCTGCATATTTAATTCATGCACAGTTGACCAAAAATTGTTTTTATCGAAAAACAGTTACAATAAATAATATAATAATGTATAATAATGTTTATACATTTATATAAATAAATATGTGCTGGTACATATATCAATGCGTTTGTTACCTAGTTGTTTTTAAAACTCTTCTCGTTAATAATAAACAAGTAGACCCATTAGTCTTGCCATTTCGTACGGATTATATTTCACCTCTGTACTTTTTAGAGTATTATACAATACAATATATAGTATACTTTATAAAGTACAAATTGAAAAAGATAATTTCGAGGTAAGTATTATTAACGTGTTTTGCATGCAAAAAGTTATGGTAAAACTAATGGCGTTTCCATTGCACACAGAATGGATTGTCATCACTATTTCGGAGATTATTTGGAAATGGAATGGAAGAGAAGGTGGTTCCGTGAGTGCCACTTGTGCGGACGCCGGAATTGGTTCGGCAAAAAGATGGCAAAATGCACATGTAAAAATTATTTATAGTATTTCTTTAGCGGAACGCGGTATTGCTGTTTTTCGTTCATAACACTTTGAATATAAAACTTAAATATTAAATTGAGTCAACCGTTTCTGCTATATTAACATCGCATATATGATGAGTGTTTGCCATTTTTCTTATAAAATATATGATATCTTCTATTTGAGCCTTCTCAGACAGCTGTTTAAAATGTTTTTGTCGACATCAAAATGCGCCGTTACTACGCAATAGAGGACATCGTACGGATTTCATCTTCATATTTATGCGCACAGGGTAGCTTAAAATGTTCCCTAATCAAGCGAAATTGTTAAGCAGTAAGGTGCTCTAGAATCGGTTCGGATAGACCAATTACATGTGATGTGATTGGTTGAACAACATAATATTTTATCATGGATAGTTAAGACATAAATCATGTTATTAAAACGTAAAATACTCCCAAGTACTTTGTATTTTGTTTTTTAATTCAAACAAATAATTATATTCTTCTCGAAAAATATCATAAGAATACTAAACAACCCGGTCAACTTCAGCGAATGGAGTTGGAAAAAAAAACTAAAGTTTTCGGCTTCTATCGATCAACCAAATTGTTAAACTTTTATATCTCTTTTTTGATTTTTTTCGGCGATATAAGACAACGGTTTTCCGTTTATCTTAAAAATGCAGTTAGTTATACTTGCACGAGGATAATACCGTGTTTTTTTTTTTTTTTTTTTATGAAATCGTGCGCATTATGTGCGTTTCGCAGTTTGCAGGCGGACGTTTGTGCACAAACACTGTATGAGGGCAGACGTGATGGTTAACGGCTATCCACCCGTACCGGCCCCAGTCTCTCATGTTTGTCCCCAGGCCGTCGAGACGCACTGTGCATCCATCAACACCGACGTCAACACTTCGGTCGACCTCACGTCCGAAATTGTGGTGCTCGCTCCTCCGGACTGGTTTGAGACGCACCAGATCAACGTGCCAATCACTTGGGTGGCTGATTTCGGTATCCGACCGGGGAACGACACGACCGAAATAACATCGAACACGGTAAAGGCTTCGGTGCACATCTTAACCAACATTGCGGTCACCAGGCCACACGCCAACCGCGACGCGGACTACCACGTCGTCAGTGAGAACGTCAGCATCCGGTCCGTGGCCACGTGGTCCACCGAGGTCGTGGCCAGGCAAGGGTGCAGGGCCACGGACGTGGTGACCTTCGACTTTCGGTGGTCGACTAACCCCCGGGTGAACGTCATCCGGGTGGCCGCCCCGGCTGGCTAGTCTTTAGCCTAGTCTTCAGCCTAGTCTTGACACGACATTACAAACCGGACATGACATTACACACCGGACGTGACATTTAACTAACCAGATGTGACTCGAAGGATTACCGGATTCGACTTTGAACATCGGACGCGACACTTTGAATACCAGAGACGACGAAGACCAGACAGGAGCAGACAGGAGACGACGATGAGGAAGATAAAGTTGTGCGTGACTTCGACGCGCGGCTCTTTTTTCCTTTTCTGCCGCAACAAACAGAAGGATGCGTTTCAATACGAAACTTGAACGGGAAATCGACTAAGATCGATCGTCCGTGAAAAACATCAACTGCCGCGATTCGTCGACAAGAAACAATCGCAGGTTCAAGTTTTTTTGAGCACACGACACTTCGCCGTTATCGTTATCGCAGTGCGTCTTATGCCGGTGTAACAGGCAAATAATACCTAACCAAAATAATACCATAACCAAATCATACCTAACCTAACCCGGAAAATATTACCAGGGGGGGGTAAGATTTTCCTAGGCATATTTTACCCCCGGTAAAATTATCCTAGGTTATCTTTACTCCCGGTAAGATTAACCTACGTTGATTATACCCCCTTCGGTGGGTACGATTATCCTAGGAAAGTTTCTCCCCCCCCGGTACAATATTCCTACGATCTGAAAACACAGCACAAATACAATTATTTTTTTAAGCGATCTGTTTTTTAATGTAAAGACAATGGTTGTAGGTATAAACGTTGTTTTATTAACAAAATTTGTTTTTTCTCCTTCCTGTTATCTACTTAAAATAATTTTTACCAACATATCATATGGAATTTTATATTTCAGAACCACAATCATGCTAATTATCTATATTTTATCATTTTCCGATAGTTGGCGTCTTTTATTCGGATCAACGGATTATTCCCAATTCTAGTGTACGCGCCTTTAGATTGGTAATAGTACTGTGACAGCCAGATGTTTATCGATTTCACCGAAATCATAGTATTTTTGGAAATTATTTGTAAGGCGTTATCGATTACACCGAGCATTTTACATGTTTATTACGCCAATTATTGGAAAATGATAAAATATAGATAATTAGCATGATTGTGGTTCTGAAATATAAAATTCCATATGATATGTTGGTAAAAATTATTTTAAGTAGATAACAGGAAGGAGAAAAAACAAATTTTGTTAATAAAACAACGTTTATACCTACAACCATTGTCTTTACATTAAAAAACAGATCGCTTAAAAAAATAATTGTATTTGTGCTGTGTTTTCAGATCGTAGGAATATTGTACCGGGGGGGGGGAGAAACTTTCCTAGGATAATCGTACCCACCGAAGGGGGTATAATCAACGTAGGTTAATCTTACCGGGAGTAAAGATAACCTAGGATAATTTTACCGGGGGTAAAATATGCCTAGGAAAATCTTACCCCCCCCCTGGTAATATTTTCCGGGTTAGGTTAGGTATGATTTGGTTATGGTATTATTTTGGTTAGGTATTATTTGCCTGTTACACCGGCATAAGACGCACTGCGATAACGATAACGGCGAAGTGTCGTGTGCTCAAAAAAACTTGAACCTGCGATTGTTTCTTGTCGACGAATTGCGGCAGTTGATGTTTTTCACGGACGATCGATCTTAGTCGATTTCCCGTTCAAGTTTCGTATTGAAACGCATCCTTCTGTTTGTTGCGGCAGAAAAGGAAAAAAGGGCCGCGCGTCGAAGTCACGCACAACTTTATCTTCTTCATCGTCGTCTCCTGTCTGCTCCTGTCTGGTCTTCGTCGTCTCTGGTATTCAAAGTGTCGCGTCCGATGTTCAAAGTCGAATCCGGTAATCCTTCGAGTCACATCTGGTTAGTTAAATGTCACGTCCGGTGTGTAATGTCTCTTGACTTTGGGTTTCGGATTCGGCTACAGTTACTGGTCACTTTGGTTATTGGCTTGCAAATATCATTTGTACCGGCTCTTGATCTGATCGAAGCTTTTTTTTCAAGCAAATGACCTCTAAATGTAGCCATGAGCGAATATTTTTTTTCTTTATTTCGGTTACTGAACATTTCAGTTGTCCACTCTAACCCATGAATTGTTGATTTGCTTCCTGTTTTTGTGGTACAAATGCATCGGGTTCCATACAACGGGTTCATTTTAGTATAACTCGAAAAACTTTAACGTAAATTCATCGGACTAGTGACACATGATGAAAATCATAACAAAAAAAAAAAAAAAAAGCGACGAATATGTGAGAATGCACGAGTATGAACTAAGTGCTCTTGTGTTTGCGTCTCGATTGGCCTCGTGTCCTTTGACTCGAGCACAAAAAACCGCTTCCGACCAAACGCCATCGAGGCGAGGCGACATGAGCTCATCTAGTTCACTCTCGGTTGCTCTCGTAATATCTCGGCATATGTGTACTACCGGCATTAAGATGATGTGCTACGTAGTGATGGGAATTTTACAGTAAAAAAAATGTTCGGTAAATTTTACGGAAATTTGCGTACATTTTTTTAATAGTGTATATATATTTTTTACTAATTTATTACGACCACAATAACATGTTTATAACTCGGCTAAGCAATACTATCACTCGACACTTGTCCACACTTAACCTCAAATATTATATTTAAATATGCATAACTATGGATAATATGATGAATAATAATATGCACGGAATTCCGCAACTTCAATCATTATCTAAAAAAAAAATTCAATTAAAAATAGGTTGAACTTAAAATTATGATTTATGACTTGTAAAATAAATTTTCTCTGATAATTTTAGCGATTTTACTTATTTTATCATACTCATTGCCTTTGAGTAGAATTTTTGCCACTTTTTTTTAAATACAATATACCTTCAACATCATAACTATATTTTAAGTTCTTTCCTTGGTAGTTTGGGTCAACCAAGTTTGCTGCAAAATTGATTGGATGTATAGTCATGTTATAACGTTCATCAATATTTTATAGCAACATTGTTCCTTCTATTTCAAGTAATGGGGAAATAATATAAGTTATAAAATGTTGTTTGATTTCATTCAAAGCTTCTGGTACGACAGAAAGTCTTGGTGTATCACTCTCAAGAATTGTAATCCAATTAACTATTGAACAAACGAGAGTGATAAGATGTTCAACATAGTTCCAACATTTGTCTGATAATATCTTGCGTTTCATTGTTTTATCTAACTTTTCTATTATTTTAATAAAAATAAACATAGACAATATATATGTTTATAATAAATTTAAATATTTTTTCAATTTACTAACATTTATATCATCAGAAATCGTCTAATTCTGTAGTGTGCTTTTATTTTTTTTAAGACTTTCTAAAAAATTTATTAATGAGTTCCATCTGGTTTTTAATGGAAGTTTGAGGGAAAATTTGATGTTTTTCGCTTTTTGAATACGTGTAATATTAGCTATAAAAATCAAATGTTGCTAATGTTAAGTTGCACATAAAAATATTTGAAGTAAATGGTCACTCGATTTTTAGAACGGTAAAAAATATTTATCGGGTAAAAAAAAATATCGGTAATATTTAGATAAATTTACTGAGCTTCCGTCTATAGCTATACGTAATTGTAATTGTAAATTTTACGTGCGCGGACAATATATTGTTATGAACTGTATAAAGGTCGATTCACACTATACGGAACGTCAACGTCACGTTAAATGTGTTATACATTCACATCAAAACGTCAAAACGTCAAACGTAAGCGTCAAATTGTAGGAATCATTGCAGTTTACTGAGGTTGCTTAGACCATATCCAGGCTCAACGATAAACGGGGACATCGAAAAACAAGTATTCAATTATAGATTGTCTCGAGCTCGTCGTGTATCGGAAAATGCTTTTGGAAATTTGGTACAAAAATTTAGAACTTATTTTAGAAGCATAAATTTATCCCCTGAGATTCAATTATTTTCCTATTTTCGTCCATATTACATCTTTATGATGATTATCAGTGTACTTTTTATGTGCCATATTGTAAAGTTCATCATATAAACGAATTTTTTCTATTAAATTTTCATCATCCATGATAAAATAATGAAAAAATAACTAAAAAACGGAAAAGTTCAGTTGTCACATTCATACTATCCGAATAGACAAGAAAGGGACCGGTTGCGTCACGTCAAAATAAAGTTTTCGATAAACGTTGCCGCTTCGTGACGGTGACGTTACGTATTGATGACGGTGTATGGGAACATTGCGATATAAATACATAGTAAAATATTTTGACGTGACGTTGCCGGTCTGTGACGTGACGTTGACGTTCCGTATAGTGTGAATCGACCTTAATCGTTTTATTCTTTCTGTTTGTTTAATCAAACAATACTCAAAACATGGAAAAAATAAAAAATAAAATAAAAACATAATTTTGTGCGATTACAAAATTAATTACCGATTTTAATTTTTACGTCGGTTGAAAGTTCACTACCTGACGTCATCGAATTAAAATGGTTACCTAACTACTCAACATATATTTACGAACAAATACATTACTTCTGTACCTATTATCTATAACAATTAACAGTACTGTACCAAAATTTAAACGTGATATATCATGATAGACGTAAACATGAGAAATAAATAAATGTATACAATGTAAGCGCAAAATATGCAGAATAAATAAATGAAACCAACTGAAAGGAACGAAAGCTATTCGCCGATGAGGCGGTTACATGGGGGTGAATCTAGGGGTTGAGGTTGTCAGCTGACCCACAATTCTTATTTGTTAACATACATGGCCTCTTGAAGACTTCTTATACTTGTTAAGTGTGCCGACTTTTTAGGTTGAAGTTAATACTAGACTGGGGCAAATTCCCCAGTTGTCAACCCCCCCCCCCTACAAATGACATCCATGGTTTAACTGTATAATACAGTATCAGTAACATATCTATGTCATAAAATAAAACAAATGTTTTTTTCAATGATAATTATTAATAAACTAAAAAACACATAATACATTTTTTATTTTTGTTACAAGGTATACATTTATAATCCAGTGTTAGCCCTAATAAGTGGCCTCTTGAAATAGCCTGACCCACAGTTCTCTAGCTGTGGATCTGCCATGTATATCGAACAATTAACCGCAGTTACATGTTGGCAAAGGTCCACGACCGATGCTGTTTTGGTAGAGTAGAAAAATTCATCATACTATGACGTGTTCGTCACGCTGTTTGCGGCTTGTATCGCGTCAGAAAGTGAAATTTTGAAGACCTATTACGTTTACTGGGTACGCATATATTCATAAGCGAAAATCGGGGGAGGGGCTTGAGGGACTAAGTCTCTCAAAAAGTTTCAAGTAGTGATCTTAGCCCCCCTTGTCATCTGGATTTAACAGCAATAAAAATGCCTAATAATTATTTTCACAAATTCACAAATTTAATCGTGAAATTTCTTGAAAATTTATTAATTGTAATTGGGTTACATGAAACAAAAATATTTTAATTTAATTTTTAAATTAATAACATGGTGATTTTTCGAATAAAATTAATCAAATAATTTGAGTCTATAATAAATTGTATTTACGTCTGTTCAATTATCAACAAATTGAGCTGTAGCTTCGTCGGAAATCCAATAATATATTATTTATAACTTATTGTTATTGTATTGGACGTTTTAGCTGTCTTATTAAATTTAAGTTATAAAATTTCTTTTATCATGGACTAAATATAATTCTGTCCGTGTCCATGGTTTCATCATATTCATATCTCCACATTTGACTGCTTTTTACTTCCGAGTACAAACTATAATTAGCGCAGATTTTCAACTGTACTTGACGTGGATATTTTATATTAAATAGGTACCCATTTCAGACTTGGTTTTTTATTTTTCGTTATCTTTTTTGATTTAATGTAAAGGGATTACATTTAATCATTATTAGTAAGTTTTGTTTTTATTACAAGTTTTAATAATAATAATAGTTATTATAATACTTTTTATAATTATTAAATTATATTTAAATAGCTTTTTTACATTTTTAACTTAAAGAAGCCCGCTCCTGTAACCACGTATAGTATAAAAGTCACAGATGATGCGAACCCAGTATGCTAATATTTTTATTGTTTAATTTTCTTTTACCTATTTTGCGAGAAAATTTTTTTTTGATGATATCAAAAATTTTGAATTAATATTTGCAAGTATTATTGGGTCGATCAAGTTCAATGGGTAAGGATAACTTAGCCCTCCCCCCCTATAATTACTCCAAATTTCCGTCACTGTATGTATTGCTATACTGTAAAAAAAAAAAAAAATAACGAGTTATATATTTTAATGTTTTTAATAATGTTTAATAATATACACGTTTAAAAAATAGTTAGCAGGTGTATGTGTTATAAAATGGAATAACTGTCTAATAGATATTTGAACCGTATATCCAAAAACGAATCTATGAACAAATAGTTGTAATCGAGTTTTCAACAAATTTTGTTGGAACATTAATTACTTTGAACAATATTCAGATTAGATCAATTTTATACCAGAAAGTGCTTATATTATATAACCGACGTATGCCATTAAGTCATAATAATTATATTTTCTTTTTGTAAGAGTTATTATACATTAGTTATTTCGTATTTAAATATAACGTTGTTTAAGGTGTTTAATCGAAAAACATTACTTAAGCTTATTCAATTTACCCAATTTAAAAATATTAAAATAATTCTAGGTACATTTTAACTAAATAATTGTTTAAATTACAAAATTATTCTATATAAAACAATATTTAAGAATACGATTGTGGATAGCTGTTGAATTAGAACTGTAAATAAACCAACGAGACTAGTATAAGAAAAACTAATCAATTGAAAACTAAAGGCTTTATTGCCATTTTACAATTTCTTTCGCTTTCAAATAAGCTTATTGAGATAATGATATTATTAGAAATATAAAATTATACTATTATTTTACACGAATAGAAAATTGAAATTTTTTGGATTTCTGTTTACGCTGAAAATGATGTTGTTTTGGCAATATTTTGAACCTTGCGATCTATTTGAAATACGAAGAACTCAATAAATTATTATTAATAGTTTTAATAAACCGATTACATTTCAAATAATATTTTTATCTGTATAAAAGTGACATATTTTATATTTATATCATTAATTTTTTTTCCAACCATGCAACTGTTTTTCTCTTAGTCAATTATTTTTTATTTATATATTCTAAAACTTTCGAGATAACGCTATTTTTTACAAAGCTTTAACAACATTAGCAATCGAGTATTAAATATTTATATTGCATTCTCTACATATAATATATGAATATTTAACATTTAAAATGTAAATAATGTAATATTGTTGTTTGTTACGATTTCAACCATAAAACATTAAGATTATTGATTACTCACAAAATACAGGAACATGTAATAATATGTCTGTTGCAGTTGTATAAATCATAATTTTTTTTTTTTAGTTTGAGATAATCATAACAATTTATTGACACATTTTGGTTCATATAAATTCATAATATTACATCATTTAGTTGGAAAACAATAATTATTATTTCAGTTCTACTGTGCAAACAAAGTAATGAGACGTAGGTTACTCCCATTCCGCAAAAAATAAAATTAAAATTTCACAATGCGTTTTTATAGTGATGCGTATACTATTATGCGAACATACTGTCACAATTAACTAACTTAATAACTCAAATCAGTTAGTAAAATAATAATATACCATCAATTGTACTTGGAAACGAATAAATGTACATGTCTACGGTAGTGAACCATTTTTCTTGAAATTTGTACACGTATTGCTTCATAGCAATAATAAACCTTTAACCTTCAATAATAAAACTTTAAAAAGAAAAAAAAAACTAAGGACATCAGCCTCTAAAGTTCATTGCTTGTTGTTTACGTGAAAACGTTGGGTTGGTTTTTATTACTATTAAGTGTTCTCGTTAATGATATATGTCGTTTACATTAATATTTTAACTCGATGAAACAGACACAAATGTTTCTCGATTACCATGGATTTCAGAATAGACCTATCTTTGTCTATTCTAAAAAAAATATATGACCGATAAAGTCATTATGGACACCGCATCGGTTGAGATATTTAAGTGTACCATCATCGGTCTTATGATAACGCCATGTATTATTCTAATAACACGTTTTATGTAAGACCAAAATGTTATCTCTAACGGTTTATTATTCTACAACAATTACTACTACCAGTTTATGTTCC